GCGCGGGGGGCCCAATTGCGCCTTTGGCGCACTCGCTGCGGCCGAGCCGCCAGTCGGTGAACATCCAGTGGAGCATGGCCAAGGTCAGACCGCCCACCTCCGCCGACGTCAGACAGTCGCGTGCCCGGCCGCCCCTTGGTGGCGGAGCCCAGTGGAATGAAGGCTCCAGTTGGCTTCGGACTTCGGACGTTTCAATTTCATCCCATCCACATGCCAAAGCTCTTTGAGACGACCACAGCCAAGCCGTCGGTGCCGACTTGGATCTGCGTGACACGGATCTTCGAGTTGCTGCACTCCCACCTCATGAAAGGAACGGAGGTCTGGAATTGTGCAAGGCGTCGCACACAAGTCTTGCAGGAGCCGGGGCTGGAACAGAAGTCGCATTTAGCTTCACGAGATCTGACAGCTGAGTACTAAAATGAGCTGTGCGTTTCGAAGGGGTCCCAAGATGAGGATGACTGCGGCAAACTGCTTTGGTTGTTTTTTCACCGGCTGCTACAAGTACGTCGAAGAGCAGGTCAAGAAAGGCTCTGCTTCTGGTGCGTTTGCCGGGGAAGGAGGTGTTTGCCCGCAAATCAAAGGCTTTTTCACGTCAAACTCAGTTCAGACTCGAAAATGTTCGCCAAGCCCACGTATAGTCATCATCCAGCAGGAGGGCTTCGCTGCTTTTCCAGTTGCGCGACATGTCGCCGATGTCGACCTCACCGAAAGATGCAGACCGCACTGCAGGAAAACCGAGATCGACAAACATTCGTTACATCGAGGCGGACAATGGCCGTCCTTTCATTGAAGTCAAACGTCGCCACAACGACCTTCACCTAGCATAAATCGCTGAGTTCCCTGGGTCGTCATGTACCGAGCCGCGTGGTCAGGATCCGTACGATCCTTGCAGACACGCCGTGCGCCAGAGCTGGAGCCACCCCCTCAGCTTTTGCACGAAGCTTCCAAAAGCGGGATGGGCCAAAGCACACGAGACAAAGGTCAACAGCAAAGGGGTCACCCCAATTCCGACTTGGTTAGTTCCCATGAATTGAATCCATGCCGCCTTCGATGGTTATCGTAATGTTGCTGGCGTTCTCCATGGCGTTCGCCCACCCGTTTGCGACTGGGAACACTGTGGAGGATCCTGCGACCTGTGCCAGGAGGGCCGGGAATGGGACAAGCTGATGAACACTTTATTAACGTTTCCCACCGTGCTCCGCTGCTTGTGCCTTGATCTCGCTACAAGACACGCACTGCAAAGCCGCAGCGATTCCGAGCCAATGCCGCATCGGCCACATGGCCGCTAGAGGCTTATAAAAAAAATTCGGAGAGAAGCGCATAGGTCTTGAGCCCAGAAACTTGCGACGGTATCACAACTACTCCCTGCAATGCCGAGGAGACGACGAACCTTAAGCTCAACGTTAATGCCGAGATTGCGCAGTCGGAACTGTGGGTTTCAAGTCTTGGAGTTCGCGCTCAGTGCGCCTCCGATTTTGTCGGCGGTCCTTCGCATCTAACGCTCAAAGCACGGCACCTCGCGACGATCTGAGTCCCTTCGGGACTCGGATTGACGTTGAGAAGTGGATCAATTACCCCCTCGCCTGCCCTGGGTAAACAAGGAAAGCCCGGTCATTCACGGACCTGGAAAATCAAGCCAGAGGCGCGTGTCAGTTAAAGGGGGTAGTGGCGGAGCAGCATGTTGACAAGAGG